CCCTCTCCCCTCCCTCTCTCCCCTCCCTCTCCCTCCCCTCCCCTCCGCCAGTTTTGGGCGGATTTTGTCCATTTGGGGACTTTTTTTTAGGCAGGTTTTAACCATAATCGTTATTTTAATAAATGAGAAATAAACGGATTTTGGAAAAGGGACGTCAACGAAAGAATCAAATAAAGAGAATCTTAAAAGGGAAATTAGAAATAGTAAAATCGTAAAACGAAATGGAAAAATGAAAAACATTAAAACCAATAAAATAGTAAAAGTCTAATAAAAATAATAAAGTAAAATAAAAGTAACAAAATAAGAGGACTATAAAATAAACGATGAAAGAGAAATAATGAAATAAGGATAAAATACAGAAATAATAAAATAAGGATAAGCCAAGCCATAAAATAGAAAAATAAAAACCAGTGAGTGATAAAATATTAAAACTACAAAATAGTGATATGAAAAAATGATAAAATAATAAAATAAAATCGGGGGCGCCCTCGTATCCCTGTGCTGTGCTATTTTTGGGGATAATTCGAGGAGAATCGGGGTCAAAAGAGGCGAAGATTCTTTTTTTAGTCGTCCATCCCGTTCGAGCCCGGCGGGAACCGGGAGGGCGGCGGAAAAGGCCGCGGGGGGCTGAGCCCTGGGGGCCGCCATGTTGTACGGCAAGAGAGGGGGCCACCATATTGTACGGCAAGACGGGGGCCGCCATGTTGTACGGCGGGAGGAGCCTTGACAGCATTTCCGCTTCCTGTAGAGGAGCGGGGTTAAACTAAGGCCCGGGGGAGAAAAAGGGGGATTTTAGGAGGGTTTGAGGGTCTCGGAGGGAAGTATTTGTCCTCCTTTATTTTTGACGGCTTTGCATCAAACTTTCCCGGGGTTTCATTTCCCTCCCGGGGGTTCGACGCCGGCGCGGCCATCTTGAGGCGCGGCGGCGCGGTGACACAAGATGGCGACTCCCTCATAACAAACCCTGTGTTAATTTGGGGAATAATTCTAAAAGAATCAGGACCAAACCGGGCGCGACGGTTTCCCTTTACAGACAACCCCGCGCTCCCGGCTTGATCTTACCGGGAACCGGGAGAGCGGCGGGG